AAGAAAAGGGAGAGAGCGACTAAAGAAGTGGTCATCAGGATAGGGACGCTTAACGTGGGAACAATGACTGGGAAGAGCAGGGAACTGGTAAACATGATGGAACGAAGGAAGCTGGAAATACCGTGTGTGCAAGAGACAAGATGGAAGGGCAGTAAAGCCAGAGAACTTGGAGCTGGTTCCAAATTATTCTACCATGGAGAAGTCAGTGGAAGAAATGGAGTGGGTGTAGTGGTGAAAGAAAAGTATATTAATGGCGTGCTTGAAGTACGTAGAATGTCAGATAGGATAATGTGTGAAACCGGAAATAGAAGGAATGGTGTCAAACTTTATTTCAGCGTATGCACCACAAGTGAAAGGCTAATCATTGGAGTAGAGTTCAGTGGACACATCGGCGTGGGAAACGGAGGAGACGAGGGACTGATGAGAAAGTTCGGGTATGGCACACGCAATGGCTGTAATAAACACCCTCTACAAGCGGGAATCCCACACGATCTTTTTCCTAGGGCTGACGAGGTTAAATAGGGTCCCAAACGCGGCAGTTAGAAAGCAGCTGCAAACTAGAAGATTTGGGGATAAGCTAAGAGAAAGTAGGCTGAGGTGGTTCGGGCATGTAAAGAGGAGACCAGAGGACTACGTTGGGCGAAAGATGATGGAGATGGCACCACCAGGAAAGAGGAGGGGAGGGAAACCGAAGAGAAGATTCATGGATGCTGTCGAAGAAGACATGAAAATAGTGGGAACACGCCGAAAGGCAAAAATATATTTTTACGACCGCCGCGACGGGGAACCGAACTCGGGACCACGAGGGTCGGAGTCCAGTGCTTTAACCACTGAGCTATCGCGGCAGTATATATGTAAAAAAAAAAATATATATATATATATATATACTGCCGCGATAGCTCAGTGGTTAGAGCACTGGACTCCGGCCCTCGTGGTCCCGGGTTCAATTCCCCGTCGCGGCAGTCGTAAAACTGCCTGCTTTCTGACTGCTTGCTCGAGCCCGAGAAAACGACATATCGGCTTGAGAAGTCAAACGCAGGTGTCGTAGGGGAAAGTCGCCGCCGTGGCACAAGTGTTAACGCGCCGAACCGCGGTTGATTAGGAAGGGCATTCAATCAGGCAAGGGTGACACCGCCATATAACCTCTCAATACTGAATTGAGAGAGGCCTATATCCTGCAGTGGAATGAATGGCTGTTGAAAAAAAAAAAATATATATATATATATATATATATATATATATATATATATATATATATATGTATGCATATATATGTATATGTATATATATATATATGTATATATATGTATATATATATATATATATACATATATATATATGTATACATATATATATATATATATATATATATATACATACATACATACATACATATATATACATACATATATATATATATATATATATATATATATATATATATATATATGTATATATATATATATATATATATATGTATATATATATGTATATATATATATATATATATATATATATATATATATATATATATGTATGTATATATATACGACCGCCGCGACGGGGAATTGGGACTCGGGCCCACGAGGGTCGGAGTCCAATGCTCTAACCACTGAGCTATCGCGGCAGTCATATATATATATATATATATATATATATATATATATATATATATACATACATACATACATACATATATATATATACATACATACATAGATACATACATATATATATATATATATATATATATATATATGTATGTATGTATGTATATATATATATATATATATACATATTCCCCGTCGCGGCGGTCGTAAAAATGTCTGCGCTCTGACTGCTAGCTCGACTCCGAGAAAACGACATATCGCCTTGAGAAGTCAAACGTAGGTGTCGTAGGGGAAGCCACCGCCGCGGTCGAAACGCGGCTGATTAGATGTAGGGTTGATCTTTTTTTTTTTTTTTTTTTTTTTTTTTTTTTTTTTTTTTTTTTTTTTTTTTTTTTTTAGTGCCGTATCTGAGCCTGACGTTGGCGTCCGTGGCGACCATGTTTAATTTCATGGTTGTACAAGGGAGTGTACGAAGGTGGTTTCACGTTGTCTTCCTTCGGGTGATTAAAGAGTTCACCATCTCTCTTTCCCTCATTCGCTCCATTGACTTTCACTATACACATTCACACAGCCATTCATACCATCTGACAATTGAGGTGAAGTTCCTTGCCTAAGGGAACAACGCGCCTGCCGGGACTCGAACCCTCGCACTCAGATTGTCGTGACTTTTCTGAGTCCGATGCTCTAACCACTCTTCCACCGCGCCCCCATGTATATCTATACATATATATTCATAAATAGATAAATAAACACGCACACACACACACGAGAGGTTATATATATGTGTGTGTGTGTGTGTGTACACGTACTGCGAATATCAAGAGTTAGATAAAATTCTAATATATAAATAAGTAATCACAAGAAATAATAAATAAACATATATAAAAAAGGAGAGTACCCACTACAAGTATTATCACTAATACGATAAAAGTATAAGATAATTTGCACCCGCATTCAAGCATGGCGACTGGTTATGTGGGAAAAATGGTAACTGACCTGGGAGAAAACCAGGTATAGCACCTGTCATGTCACCTGTCATGGTACCTGGCATGGTACCTGGCATATCGTCGGAACTAGATTTAGTACGCTTACGATTGTGACTTCTATTGTGGTGTCTAGTATAGCTTGGGCCTCTAGTATAGCGTCGACGTCGTTAAGTACAACTATAATAGCGAGGAGGACGTCGTAAGCCAGGTCTGCGACCATATGGAGGGCCTTGCCTAGGACCAGGGCCATCCCAAGGACCAGGGCCATCCCAAGGACCAGGGCCATCCCAAGGACCAGGGCCATCCCAAGGACCAGGGCCATCCCAAGGACCAGGGCCATCCCAAGGTCTAGGGCCATCCCACGGTCTAGGGCCATCCCAAGGACCAGGGCCATTCCAAGGACCAGGGCCATTCCAAGGACCAGGGCCATTCCAAGGACCAGGGCCATTCCAAGGACCAGGACCACAACCTTGCCATGGTTCAGAACTACGATCTTGCCAAGGAGCCGATTGCTCACCTTGCGTAGCAGCTGGCATAGTATCTGGCATAGCACCTTGCATAGCATCTGGCATAGCACCTTGCATAACATCTGGCGTAGCACCTTGAATAGCATCTGGCATTACACCAGGTATAACACCAAGCATATCATCTGGCATAGCACCTTGCACAGCATCTGTCATAGCACCCTAAATAGCATCTGGCATAGCATCAGGCATAGCATCAGGCATAGCACCTCGCATAGCACCTCTCATAGCACCTTGCATAGCACCTTGCATAGCACCTTACATAGCACTTGGCATAGCACCTTGCATAGCACCTTGAATAGCAAATTGAATTGCATCTGGCATAGCACCAGGCATATCACCAGGCATATCAGCTTCAATAGCATATGGCATAGCACCTTCAATAGCATATGGCATAGCACCAGGCATATCATCAGGTATAGCACATGGCACAGCACCTTGCATAGCTCCTTGAATAGCAAATTGAATTGCATCTGGCATAGCATCTGGCATAGCACCAGGCATATCATCAGGTATAGCACCTGGTACAGCACTTGACATAGCAGCAGGTACAGCACCTTACATAGCCTCTGGTATAGCACCTGGCACAGCACCTGGCACAGCACCTGGCACAGCACCTGGCACAGCACCTGGCACAGCACCTGGCATAGCACCGGGCATAGCACCGGGCATAGCACCGGGCATAGCACCTGGCATAGCACCTGGCATAACACCTGGCATAACACCTGGTACAGTACCTGTCACAGCACCAGGCATAATACCTGGAATAACACCTGTCACAGCACCTGGAATAGTACCTTGCATAGCATCTGGTATAGCAACAGGCATAGCACCAGGCATAACACCTGGCATAGCACCTTGCATAGCATCTGGTATAGCACCAGGCATAGCACCTTGCATAGCCCCAGGCATAGCACCAGGCATAACACCTGGCATAGCACCTGGAATAACACCTGGCAAAGTACCTGTCACAGCACCAGGCATAACACCTGGAATAGCACCGGAAATGGTACCTTGCATAGCATCTGGTATAGCACCAGGCATAGCACCTTGCATAGCATCTGGTATAGCACCAGGCATAGCACCTTGCATAGCACCAGGCATAGCACCTGGCATAGCACCAGGCATAACACCTGGCAAAGTACCTGTCACAGCACCAGGCATAACACCTGGCATAGCACCTGAAATGGTACCTTGCATAGCATCTGGTATAGCACCAGGCATAGCACCAGGCATAGCACCAGGCATAGCACCTTGCATAGCACCAGGCATAGCACCAGGCATAGCACCTGGCATAGCACCAGGCATAACACCTGGCATAACACCTGGCATAGCACCTGGCATAACACCTGGCATAGCACCTGGCATAACACCTGGCAAAGTACCTGTCACAGCACCAGGCATAACACCTGGTATAGCACTTGAAATGGTACCTTGCATAGCATCTGGTATAGCACCAGGCATAGCACCTTGCATAGCACCAGTCATAGCACCTGGCATAACACCTGGCAAAGTACCTGTCACAGCACCAGGCATAACACCTGGCATAGCACCTGAAATGGTACCTTGCATAGCATCTGGTATAGCACCAGGCATAGCACCAGGCATAACACCTGGCAAAGTACCTGTCACAGCACCAGGTATAACACCTGGCATAGCACCTGAAATGGTACCTTGCATAGCATCTGGTATAGCACCAGGAATAGCACCTTGTATAGCACCTTGCATAGCACCAGGCATAGCACCTGGCATAACACCTGGCATAACACCTGGCTTAGCACCTGGCATAACACCTGGCATAGCACCAAGCATAGCATCTTGCATAGCATCTTGCATAGCACGAGGCATAGCACCTGGCATAGCACCTGGCATAGCACCAGCTATAGCACCAGGACCACAATCTTGCCAAGCAGGATTATACTCAGCAGCAGGTTACTGCCCAGGAGGAAGATACTGCATTTCCCCAACAGGGTACAGCCAAGGCTAGAGACCTCCAAAGTCAGTGCTCCTGGTCAATATCCAATTTGGGGCTTTCTGATACCGAGGGTCCTCACCACGTTTCTTAGGGTGTGAAATCTAGCATCTGCTACAGCTCGTCGTCCAGAAAAATCCGCTGGATGACGTCCAGTAACTACTGCTAAATAACAAATACTCACTGCTGCTGAATGATGTCCAATCACTGCTGCTGGAAGACGTCCATTCACTGCTGCTGGAAGACGTCCAATCACTGTTGCTGGAAGACGTCCAATCACTGCTGCTGGAAGACGTCCAATCACTGCTGCTGGAAGACGTCCAATCACTGCTGCTGGATGACGATGACTCACTGCTGCTGGATGAGGTTGACTCACTGCTGCTGGAAGACGTCCCATCACTGCTGCTGGATGACGTTGACTCACTGCTACTGGATGACGTTGACTCACTGCTGCTGGAAGACGTCCCATCACTGCTGCTGGATGACGTTGACTCACTGCTGCTGGATGACGTTGACTCATTGCTGCTGA